ATCAGGAATGCACCTCTACTACCCGAACCGGCACGAGGGTATCAGATCGAGAGGAGGCGACTGTTCAACTTGGACACACGTGACCTGGTCCCAGACATATCGAGGGTGTACTGGATATCAAACCCTCAGATCACCCACGATGTGGTGGCACAGCAGCCGATCACGGTCATCGAAGATATCAGATCAATGAAGGAGGAAGAAACGCAAGATGGACCAGGAGGTGACCAACAACATGCAGCCTCCCAGCCTGGGCCTCAAAGTGGTAGCAACACTGACGAGATCATGGAGGAGCTGGAGCAGCCCAAGGAGGTGAAACGCGGTGGTAAGAAGCATTCAGTTAAGAAGGACCTGAAGCTCAAGCAGACCAAGAAGGATGATGTTCACGACGACCGAGCTGAACTTCAGGTACCTGCCAGCATCCAGAGGCATATGGAAGAACGCAAGAAGGCAGAGGAGACGGCAGCAGCACCGACAGCAACATCAGAAGGTCATCAAGGTACAACAACATCGAGTACTAGACAGCCAGAGCAGCATCAGGGCAGCAAGCGCCAGGAGTTCCTGTTGGACGACGTGCCCATCAGCATCAAGCGTGCGAAGGGGCAGACGGGACCCATCAAGCAGCTGGCGGAGACACCACTCCTGGTTGAAGCTTTCGTGGCCGAGCGGATACGTACACAGCCGACAAGGGCTAACAAGCATCAGGAGATCAACCTGAAGGCGCTGGGCGACGACAAGCTTAAGTGGAAGAAGATGCAGAGTGCAGTAGAGAAGAAGTGGAATACCTGGTGCAAGTACGACGCGGCAACCCACATATCAGGAGCAGCGGTTGAGAAGATAGACCCTGACAAGATCCTAAGCTCCAAGGTGGCCTGGACAGACAAAGACCCTACAACCTTTGAGCCGAAAACGAGAATATGTGGACGGGGCTACGAGGAGGAGTTCGATGACAAGTTAGGTCGAGGCTCTCCTACAGTCTCAGCACAGATGACGCTACTTCTGTGCAGCATCGTATCGAGCCTTAATGTGGACCTAGTCGTTGCAGATGTGAAGGGAGGTTTTCTACAAGGCAAGGCGATCACACGCGAGCTCTACTTTCGGATCCCGACGAACCTTGGGAAGCGTACCATCCCAGGTTTCAAGGAAGGCGACCTGCTAAAGCTTAACAAGAGCATAAACGGGACAAACGATGCGGCAAGAGCTTGGTACGCGGCGCTGCGCGAGACGCTCGTGAAGCTTGGATGGGAAGGCCTGAGCTTCGAGCCCGCGACCTTCATCAAGCGCAACAAGGAGAACACGATCATAGGGATCATGCGTCTACACGTGGCCGACTTCCTCATGGGCATCAAGCAGGGCGACCCTGAGGGCGCCAAGATCATGAAGGACCTTCAGAAGGAGATTGACTTTGGCGAGGTCAAATACGCTAGGAAGGAGAAGGCGACGTTCTGTGGCTGGTCCTATCAGCAAGGCAAGGACGGCCGCATCAACGTCACCATGGAGGTTTATGTGAAGTCTATGCAGAATGTGCGTGTATCCAGGGAGCGCAGCAAAGCACCTGACAGTGCACTGACCCCAGCAGAGCATTGAGGACTACGAATGGTGGTTGGACAACTGCAGTGGGCTGCGCGAATGATTTGTTTCGAAGAAGCGTTCGAGGCATCCCGATTGGCATCAACGCTGGGAGCTCCGACGGTGAAGGATCTACAGGACGGGAATGCAACTATCAGGAGAATCCAGAAACGGGACGACCTACTGATCAAGTTCGCAGCTGGCCTGAATCTGTGGAAGACCATGGTAATCAACGTGACCGATAGTGCTTTCGACAACCTGGCGAAGCACAGATCGCAACGAGGACACGTCATCATGCTAGGTGACGAGAAGATCAACGAGGACCACGGCAACAAGTACAAGGTACATTACATTGTGTGGCAGCCTTCAAATATTCAACGAGTGGTGCGATCTACTCTATCGGCAGAGGCATACTCATGTGCAGATTATGTGGATATGCTGATTTGGACAAGGTCAATCTTGGCGGAGATCCTACACCCAGAGATGGATGCGGCCGAGATCGTGCATGATACCTGCCCGGTAAAATTCATCTCGGTGGCTGACTGCAAGAGCCTGTATGACACGATCACGAAGGGGAATGTATATATGACGGATATGAGGCTTTCTGTGGAGGCGGCTATACTACGTCAGTCACTAAAGGAGGTCAGCATCAAATGGGTCAAGAGTAAGAGCGAGCAGATGCTAGCGGACTGTTTGACGAAAGTCATTCCAGGAGGCTACACGAGGAAGATTGTGATATCTAACTTGTGGACTCTTGGACCTGATGGCAGAGCGCCATCAATACGCGGACGGAAGCTAGTTGGACCAGAGAAGATGGCAGCCAACAAAGAGGTCGACGACCTGAACGCGAAGATGGCTAAGTACGTCAAGCAAGAGCTGCATGACGACACCGATGGGAATGATGAGATATCGACCTGGCCGGTGGAGACGTACAACTATGTGGACGAGGGTTTCTATGACGACATGGGTGAGAACTATGACGAGACCGATTACGTCGAGGCATTCTACATGGATGATGCGATGGTCAAATACCCAGCTGATAGGAATAGTGCGCAGCGAACTATCCAGATACCTGACAAAATCGCGGTTCTACTTCAACTCTGTGCACTTGCAGTGTATGGAGTCTGTCTTTCGATGTCTCCTACGGTGGTGACATTAGTATCGATCATTGCGGGAGTCATCATGGTTATCTACGTAATGCAGCCTAATCAGAGCGACGACGAGGATTTCAGTATGGTGCCGATTGAGGTGGACAGTTCGAGCAGCGACAACATTTTCAGGACGGAGGGTCCCAAGCAGGCAAAGCTGAAGACAGCCACACTAAGGCTGAAGGCTGAGCCTGAGGTGGAGACGTACTCCGACGAGAGACTGGAGGATGGACCGATCTACCTGGGGGACAGTGCTCTCCTGAGGCAGTGGTGGGCTAACCTGGGATCGATGCACATCCAGAGTGGAACATTCGAGGGCTGCAGCTTCGCAGACTTATATAGCAAGGACAAGCATTACGCCAATTGCTTGGGCAGGTGTCTGAAGCTGGACGCAGACGAGAGCAGGAGCTACAGTCTGGATTCGAGAATCAAGACATACATTGCTTACAGCATCATCAAGTCAGCTCAGTTACGATAAGATTTCATTACCAATTTTGTGTTGATGTTGGATGGTGGAGACTTTTATTGTTATGCCGCTACCAACTTTGCGTTGATGCTGGATAGTGGCGACTTCATTGAGATGTCAATACCAATTTCGTTGGTGGAAGAGATTATATTGAGATTCGCTACCAGCTTTGTGTTTACGCTGGTTGGCTGAGGAGATATGTGTGTACCCTCTCAGGCGAAGAGAAGAGGAGTGCACCCTCTCAAGTGATTTTTGATGTGTTGCATCAAGAACTGATATGGTATCTTGATATGTGTTGCTGAAGATATTGATTCGATGTTCTGATATTTGTTGGTCAAGAATTGATGTGATATCTTGACAGGTGTTGTTCGGTGTACAGGCGGCTTTTGGCCGGTCGAGCCGACAGGCACATTCGTGAATATTCTGGAGGTTTGCTTCAGACTTGGCTACGCATTCTTCAGCAACTGTTCCTTTTTCCTGTGTGAAAATTGTATAGGCGAGGATGTGCGAGTTAGGGTGATAATGAATTATCTTGCCCTTCCGCCCATTGCCGTTGCGGCTCATAAGCTGGGCGGGAGGGTGGACGCACCTACTCACGTTTTGGCCTGAGTACGGAGATAATCAGATCTTGTTTCTTTTATTTTGTGCTTGCATCAAGTGCTTGATGGGAGAGATATTGTGATCTATATTTACAAGATGGAGTGCGACCACACCACTTCACACTGCCTGGCCTCAACAGCTGTGCGAATCATCTATCGCCGGGCAAACTGGGTTCCCAACACCAGCCAACATGCGACGTGGCCTGACGATGTCTCCAAATGCCTACGTCTCGATGGCCGCCACGACAGCGGGCATCCTCGGCACCGCCTTGACTGACGGCAGGCCCCGGCTCCGGCTCGAGCTCTGCAGTGGCGTGCGCCTGGGCCAAACCTGCAGGAACCTTCTCTCTCCGTGGTGGCCTGCCGACGTCGGGAGAGAGGGAGGAGGGCGGAGGGAGGGAGGAAAAAGGGGGGAGGCAAGGGGATGGAGAAAGGGGTGAAGGGCGGAGAGAGGCGGGGCCCAGCTAGACGCGCTCGCGCAACATCTAACATCCTATCCCTCCCTCCCGCCCCTTCCCATTACCCTGATGTTTCTCTCTATCTGCGGATGCGTGTCATAGCCGACCCAGGAGAGGCGGGCGCAGGAGGGACGTAAAAAGGGCGCAGAAGCGAGGAGGAACTGGGCATGAGGAGGCGGAGAGAAAGAGACGGACTCGCTCCCAAAACTAGGCAAACGACCTCGGGAGAACAGAGCATCCTGACTGTATGTACGCAATCGTGGTTCCTCACGGATCTGCATGTTCACCGTGCGTCACAGCACAAGATGCGAATAAATGCCCGCGTTGTGTACGCCATTAGCTGCACATTACTCAACATGCTCGCATGACGGTCGGGTGGACCAGAAAATATGAAAGGCATGGTGCTGGATATGCCTGCAAAGCAAGATGCTGGAAAGCCGACAGATGCCAGCGAACGAAGCTCAGCCTAACTCAAATGAGTTCTATATCACGGGGACGCTGCCAACAAAACTGATGGATCGGGCGCCGATATACTAACGGCACGTTTGCATATACGCTCATGTAATCTCTGACGCACTGCAAAGTGGACGAAACGATCGAGGGCCTCGCAGACGACTCTGTTGCCTGCGTCTTTACTGCGCAGAGGATGGCATTCCTCGCAAAAAGCGGACATTATACCTCCAAGTCCACCATGGACTACGACATATCACGCGCAGCGATTGAGGCACGCAAGAGAGATAGCCACAAAGAAACAAGCACGGTCATCGAAGATGATTCCGCCCGTTATCTCCACGACCTTGAGCCTCGCCGAATCTCTCTCTCTCTCTTTCTCTCTCGCTCTTTCTCACTCTCTCTCTCTCTCTCGCCCCTTTTTTGTTCTCTCTCTCTCTCTCTTTCGCTCTCTCTATGTCTCTCGCTGCTTCTCTGTTTTCTCTCCCTCTATCTCTTTCTCTCTCTTGCTCCCTCTATATGCACATACATGTATGGATGTGCGCATGCGCAGCACTCCCCCCCCCCGCCCCCACTGATCGTCGTATTTTCTTTCGGCGGTGGTCTTATTTCCGATTCCTCTCCGTTTGGTCGCTTCTCCTCCTGCGCGTCCGATTTATCATGTTGTGCGTCCTCCTCATTCTGAAATTCTGAACATCCTCTGCATGCTACTGTTCTTCCTCCTCTTCCTGTTGCTGTTGCTACTCCTCCTTCTCCTCCATTCGTTGTGCTCGCCTCCTCCTCCTCCTCCTCCTCCTCCTCCTCCTCCCCCTAGTCGACGTTGGAGGCTCAGGCACTCGGAGTCCCGACGGAGAGAGGATTTGACTGAAACTCAATCACGCGACTACCGCCCCACACTTTCACGGGCCAGAGAGGGGGCGGGAGGGCATGGAGGTTGTTCTCGACATGTGCACTGGTGAAACTGGAATTCTACAATCCGCTGGCGGCGAATACCAAGGACAGACTGGAAGAGATTAGCAGTGCACTTCGGGAATGGGATGCGGTTGTGCTGACAAGGACGCATCAGTGGGCAGAGCCAGAACCGATGACGAAGACAAATCATAGATACCATGTGGCAATGCAGTTTGGGGGAAAGAAAAGGAAATGGATTACGAAGGCATGCGGTACGACGTTCATGGTGTCCCACGAGATGATGGAGGACAAAGCAGCGTTCCACACGCAACACTCACCACCGGCTCAACTACACGGAAGAGCAGCAGGGGTGAGATTGCGTATAAGGGCGTACGAAATCACAATATTTGCGACGTATCTGCCACCAGAGAAAAAGGTACACTAGTCATGGTACGATCTCCAAAAAACAACAAAAAATGAGATGGGCGGAGGAAGAAGTGCAACGAAACGGGCGGCAGACCTACTGTCATTGCTGGGGGGGACATCAACAGCCAACTGGGAACGCACAGGTCGGACAACAAGGACTTGGTGGTAAGCAGGCACTGCCCGGGCAAACATGCAGTATCACTGGAACCAGTGGCTAAAGAGGCGGAGAACGACAAGGGAGCAGGATTCAGGATTTGTTGTGTCAACTGCCTGTTGTAGGTAGTCACGACCTTCTACGATTGTGGGCCAACTTACTACAGCATTGAAGACGACTGGATGCGGACGAGCAAGATGGACCACATAGCGGTACCGACCACATTGGAGGAGGTGCGCGGCATTCAGAGGAGTGGACAAACAGCTGCAACAAATCAAAGCGAGAGGACATCGAGACCACATCCCTCTGGGCCTCGACATTGGATTGGAACACCAATTTCATTTCTCGGGCAAGCACAGACAGCAGAGGGCAAACAAAGATGTGGACCGCAATATGCTGATGGACTCTCGGAGAAAAGGGAGATTGAGAGCAGAATTCTTGGGTGCTTTCGACCGTCACCTGAAGTCTACAGAGGAGGAACACTAGCGGGGACGTCCCGGAGTGCGATCCAGGCAGATTCTGCCTCGCTCCCAGGAGAAGAAGGGAAAGATCTTCAGGGCCGACCTACAGCAGACCAGACGTGGAAGACATGGAGTGATGCAGGAAGAAAAGCGATGAAAGAGGTCTTCCCAGTCAATAAGACGCAGGAGGACCAGGGAGTGGCAGCCTTTCAACTTCTGCGACCATCCCTACTGGGGGAACGGATGAAATTGATAGTGGACATGGTATAATCAGAGACGGAGGAGAGGCTGGAGGAAATCAAGGAGAATCTGGCGCAGATACAAAAAGTGTTTCGGAAAAACAGGACCGACCTGGAAACCGCAAAAAAACGGCCGAGGAGATATGGAGGGCGCACGAGAACGACAACTTTAGGGAGATGCATCAACTTCGCATTTAATACAGAGGAATGGGAGAGGGCCGAAAAAATGTACAACTTTTCAACACGCACCTGGTGGAACACAGGGGAATGGTTAAAATAATTGGGACCACGAAAGGGCAGCGGAGTCACTGGATTTAGACGCATACGAGAAAGAACACGACGAGGTGATAGCAAAGAAGATGCCACTACCAATGGGTGGGGATCTGAGAGCGCCGGTGGAGAGGGACAAAAGAGACATGCTAAACTATTGCAGGAAGGCGGCAAGAAGGGCCCCCCCCCTTGAGGAGTACCATTGGAACTTACATGGAAGATATTGGACCCCACGGTCAAACTGAATGACCCTGGGCAGCTGAGCAAGAAGGTGGAGGAGCAGAAGACACGAGCAGCGGAGCTTCGCGAGGACGAGGATGAGTTGGCCAAGTACAGCTCACTACACAGGTACAGGGTGGGCAGGACGATCCTACAGAAGATCGGGCGGGGGGCGGGCAACGTTCTGGGTCGGGCAGAAAGAGCAGATGACGGAGAGGCATTGCGGGCGAGCGAGAGACAAGCGCGCCACCTGGGGAGATATGGGAAAGCTGGATTGGGGTCGGCAACGATAGAGGTCGACGAGATGCTGGAGTGCAGGAACAAGCTGGGGGACATCCTTATCAAACGTCGCCAGTCCCAAGCTACGCCACTGGATTGGCGCAGGTCGATCTCGTTTTCTGCAGGAAAAGCAATAACAAACATGGGGTTGGAGGTAAGAGAGCTACGCATGAACATTGCTCAATGGGCATGGCTTTTCACAAGGGGATACAGCACAGAGGAAAAGCACCAAAACACCCATGCTGGGCACAAGAGGGGCTTTGTAATAGGTCAAGGGATAATGCGCTTGTCTGCGTCGAAGCTGCACAATGGAGAGCGAGACAAGCAAGAGTAACACCATCGCCAGCAACTACGACTGCACCAACGCCTTCGCAAGCACGCAACGCAACCTCCTGCTGGCATCGGTCTTCGCGGCATCGAAGGAGGACCTGCCATTTGCCATCGAAGGGATCGACTACACGTCGATGAGTATGGAATGCGCCGACCACTGGGTCCATGCGCTGACGACACAGGGAGCGCAGATGGGATTCGCCCTGTGCCCAAGGCAATTCAATGATACTTACAATCTAAATGTGGGACCATGGCAACAGGAGGAGAGGGAGAAGGACGAGATGCAGACAATGCACGATACGATGGGCACAGTAACGGAGAAGGAGTACGATCTCTCGCTCAACAAGTTCATGGACGACATTACCAAGATCCACACAACGGCGTCGATGGGCCCACCCACCCAAAAGCAGGAGCAGACTGGAGTTAGCAAGGAAATCTCGGAGCGCCAGTCAGCTTTCGGCGGAAGCGAAGATATCTCGGCTCGTCGGGAAGCACCAACTGGGGAGGGAGGGCGGGCCCCTGTCACAGGCGAGCAGGATCGCTAAGCAGATCAAAACTACCACGGAGCGCCTGGAGCGCAAGCTGGCGAGAGAGAATGCCTAAACCCAGCCAAGCCAACCATATGGTTGCTTTACGAGGCCCCAGGGCGGGACGGGGTCACGCGAGAGCTTCAAAGGGAAAGGCAGCTCAAAGGCCCGATGAGGGAGATGCGAGCACTGGGCCCCTACTTGCCAGGAAACCAAGTCTACGCGGGAGAGGTCAGGTGAAGACGCGAGGCCATGCAGGTAGCCTAATTACAGGCAATGCGGTTGCTTCTGGTCTTCAGATACCTCGGACAAACAAAAGAGATGTTTAAGGCGTTCGTGTCACGGGCAGGCCTAAATGGACTGATGGCTATTGTACTAGAAGAACGCCACTTCGGAGCGCTCGACAGCACCATGGCAATGCGATTGAGAAGAATGGCAGGAGACAGAATGAGGTGGACTCAAAAGGATGGTGCGACCAGATGCTACTCCAACAAGGAGGTGTTCGCAAGTGGTGGAGGATACCGCGTTGTCCTACTGCGCTGAGGATCCGCAGGCTACGATGGCACCTGCAATGGGTGAATCATCCAGAGGACTTTGGCAGCGTATTAGCAGCAATATTTGGAACATCGAAATTGGACCGCCTTTTGCGGAGTCAGGAGATTGGAGAATGGGAGAGCATGCGCGGCATCTACACCTTGGGCAAAGCAGGTGGTCAAGGATTTTCGGGCACTGGCGGAGGTCAGCGAGGACGTAACAAGCTGGTACCCGCAAAGACATTCAGACACGTCCATGTTCCAAACGGGCACAACTGACTGGAAGCATGGATAGGGACGGGCCCCAGCATACATACTTCGACAAGCAGGACGGACATGGGATACTCCGCCGGCCCCCTTGTGGGGCCACCAGGCTGTAGGACCAGGTTTCGCTGTTCCCTGCACCAGTTTCAGTTTCCAGTTTCTACTGTTACACTTCTGCTTCTTGTTGCTTACTGTTCCTTGTTGTACTTGTTGTAGACCGCGCGAAGGGGGGGAGCCGAAAACCGCCCTGCTTAGCACCTCCCGGGAGGGGTCTCAGAATGTCTGGCGGGGGCGAAATTGACACACCTTACGCAGATCGGCGGGGTGAGGGTCCAAAAACACAAAGGATTTACCACATTTCTGAAATTCTGTGGCACCCCTCGCGCAGATCGGCGGGGTCAGGGTCGAAAAACCAATTGGATTTGCCACATGTTTGAAATTCGGCGGCACCCCTCATGCAGATCGAGGGGGTCAGGGTCGAAAAACACATGGGATTTGCGACATGTCTCAAATTCGGTAGCACCCCTCACGCAAATCGCCTGGGTCAGGGTCCAAAAACACAAAGGATTTGACACATTTCTGAAATTCGGCGGCACTCCTCGTGGAGATCGCCAGGGTCAGGGTCCAAAAACACAAAGGATTTGATACATTTCTGAAATTCGGCGGCGCCTCTCATGCAGATCGGCGGGGTCAGGGTCCAAAAACATACGGGATTTACCACATTTCTGACATGCGGCGGCACCCCTCACGTAGATCGTCG